TGTAATACGTCCTAGGGGACAGGGAGCCTGGGTTCGCAGAGTCCCCGTGAGGAGGTGCCCCCTGCACAGCAGAGCATGGCCTGGGACCCGCCTGTCCCCTGCACCCCTCTCAGCAAGGCTGGGGCGGGGCCGGAGGTCAGCCCCTTTGGGTCCCTTCTCCCGGAAGCCTGACCCTGTGCAGCCGGCTTTTCCTCCATCTGCTCTCCCCGGCCCCTTGCTGCTAAATGAGGGCAGTGTTCCCGAGGACGATCGCATCTCACGCTGGAATCTGCGTCACAGATGGAGGCCGTGGAAGTCTTCGGGGCGCAGTACCCAGACCAGGCGCTCTCACCCCATCTGGGAACAGCCCTGTACCCCGTGGAGGGCGCAGGGCCGTTCATGCCCTGCTTGCTGCTGAGGCCCCAGGTCTGACCTCAGTCCTCCCAGCCCCTCTCTCCTCTTCAGTGTGGCCTCCGGTCACTCAGTGACTTGCCCTAGGGCCCTCGGCTGCCAGCCCCCTTCCCGGGTGGGCTCGTGGCCTGGGTCTGGCCAGCCTGCCCCTCACCTCTGGTGTTGTCTCTCCTTCCCGTCCCCCACCTCATGACCCCCAAGGGTAAAAGGGCCTCCTCTGAGTCACCAGCGTGTTTGTAGGAGTGGGTGTGTGATGGGACTCCGACCTGAAGCTGGAATGTGGGCCTCAGGGGACAAGAAGTCACTCCTTCCCCAGAAGAATCATGTCAGATGGACTCAGAGCGGACGAGCCTGCCTGTTCCATCCCCAGGCTCCTCTCTCTGGTCAGACAGGGGCTCCATCGGGCACGGGCCACCCTCTGCCCTGGCCTGCCACCAGGGTGTGCACTCTGACGCTGTGGGCTGGACCCACAAGACACCAGAGCCTCACAGGCACCCCGCTTCTCCTGATGTTGGGTCCATGTTCCACGTTAAATTTTCCCCTTTGTCATGTGTCTGTAGTGCAAATTAGGCTCTTTATTGTGACTTTGCAAAACTTGTTTGAAGTGAGTGAGAGAAGGGCAGCATCTATCTTAGTTGGAGCTCCCAGACTTGGCAAGCTTGTGACACCGAGCCCCATGGCCTTGGGCAAGCCCCCTCCCCACCTCTCAAAGCCACCAACACCCCTTCTCCGGGCGGCAGTGGGCCCCTGGTGCCGGCGGGGAGTAGCCTGGGAACTGTGCCTCAGTCGGCCTCCTCTCTGAACAGGCACGGACCTGGGGAGCCCTGTGTTTCTGGGGCTCACTTCTAGGTAGGTCTTATTTTCATCTGAGCGAGTTCAGTCCCATTCCTTCACCTGTGCTTTTTTCCCTGGGCTTGGTGATCACACCAAGGTTCCCTCAGACCTTCCCAACTCCGTTTGATAAAATACGCCGAGTACTTGATGTGAGCCGGCCTTGAGCAGGGAGTGTGATGAGTGACAGGCGTGGTCTCTGCCCTCCAATCACTGTAATATCAGAAAGGGGTGTGGGAGAGGCCGAGCAGTGGAGGCAGGAGGATGTAGGGCAGGCTTCCTGGCAGAGGCAGCTATGCAGTTGGGCCTTGAAGACGTGGTAGGTGAGGAAGGTGTCCCGGGTGGATGGGGGCCACACAGAGACGGGGAGGTGGGAAGCACAGCAGGTGATCCAGGCTTAGTGAGCAGGTGCAGAAGGCCTGCTGGGGGGCGGGGGGTGAGTCCAGGAGAAGCGGCTGTGGGGATGGGCTGGACTCTTAACTCCATTGAGCTTGGACTTGACCCCATAAGGGTCAGACTTGTGTTTTCCAGAGATCACGTGGTCTGCAGTGTCAGTGTGGAAGCTGGATGGGGAGAAAGGGGTGTGGGTAGAGGCGGAGGTCCCTTTGGTTGACTAAGGCACGGGTCCAGGAGAGATGCTGAGGCAGCCACGTGAACAGGGAGAGGCAGGTGGATTCTGCTGGGGTCTCAGACGCAGCAGCAGAGAACTTGGTAGCTAAGGAGACTGGGGGGTGGGGTGGCCTGCGGTCCTCACCTGGATCCTGGATCCTGGATCCTGGAGGTGGGGGCACGGCTGGCCTGCGGTGACTCAGGCACAGGACACTCCGCGTGTTTGGCTTCTGATCACACCGCTCAGAGAATCATGGGAAGTAACTTGGGACGCGGGACAGACGGGAGTGATGACCAGCCACCCGATGCTCCCGCCCTGAGATCTCAACACAAGAGGCATCTACAGATGGGCTGTGCCCAGGCTTCCCAAAGGCCCTAGACCGTCCTGGAGGGTGGAGCCTCCTCCCCGTTCTCCTCCCGCCTCTGCCAGTGGGGCACCGTGGCCAGTGGGTGGAATGGGCCAGGAGGAAGGAGGCACGCCCCGCACGACCCTGGACAGACCCCTCCCCTCTGAGACAGAGGGCCTGTGCTTCCTAATGCTAAGGACCCTTGCAGCTCAAAACATACCCACGTTTTCTGAGGTTAAGAAGAATGGGAGGCCTTACGCAGCCAGTGTTGTCTCTTCCTGCCCCGTAGTGTCTAAAGTTCTAGCCGGCTCATTTTGAGATGCCTCACGCGCAGGGACTGGAGCCCCCTGGGAGCAGCGAGGGCTGTGCTCTGTCCTCCCACCCTGACCAGGCCGGCCAGCTGAGGGTGTCAGGAGGCAGTCCAGGCCGGCGGGCAGAACAAGGGGCACAAGCGCAGGACCTCCGCAGTTCACGCCGTGGCAGCTGGCTGCCAGCGGGGGTCCTGACAGCTGGCGGGGCCCGGTCAGAGCGAGGGTGGGCTCCCGTCCTCAGACCAGGGGCCAGGCGGGGGCTCCGGGGCAGGGGCTTGGCCCCGGAAGAGGGGCAGATCCGGACGCGGGCACGGGCCCAGCAGCCGAGGCCAGGTCTTGGAACAAGGCAGGAGTCCAGCTGTCAGGCCTGAGCCCCAAATGCTGGGCTGAGTGGGTGGCACTGTCCGCCGTGCGGACACCAGGCAGGGCCTGGGCGCTGTCTGAGGGCTGCAGCCCCTCGTCCGGGACTCTTCATCCTACAGGCCGGTCTCAGCCGACACCACGGTGCGATGGAATTTAAGAAAGAAAGTGGCGTTTTGCGGGTAGTCTGAGCTTGGTTCTCCTGTTTACAGGTGTGGCACTTACCCTTTCTGGGCTGTTCCCTCGCCTGTTACAAGCCTTCCTGGGAGCTGTCCAGTAGGGTTGTGAGAATTACAGTAACTGTAAATTAAGTTAAGAGAAGTGCTCTGACACTGCTGTAAAGCAGTGTTCTCGTATTTTTTCTCTGGTTTCCTGAGAACAAGAGGAGAGGAGCCCTAAGGCCTGGGCCTCACGGAGTAGGAGAGAAAAGAGATCCCCTCCACCGCGGATTTATTTTTTTAATTAGGAATGTTTTTTCTTTATTAAACTTGAAAATTTTTCTAATGTCTATACTGGACATATTTACAGAAAAACCAATTTTTAGAAAGAGCAGAGTTGTTTTATGTTAAATAAAGCAGAACAAGCATGTTTAGAGACAGGAAAAGAAAACCAGTATTTATTTCACACCTACTAATGTGCCAGGCCACCAGATATTTATGTAGTCACCTCTGTAAAGAGTACACAGGTGTCTTCTCTCCTGCCCGGCCCCTGAGTTCAGCAGTTGGCATTGAACAAGGCAGGGTCAGGCAGGGCCACCCAGGGGAGAAATTTATCCTCAGGTGCTGGGAGGCCCTCCTCCCGTCAAGCAGCTGGCCCACTGCCCACCACCTGGATCCTCTTTCCCCAACTAAAGCATCCACACAGGGGTCCGGAAGCGGCAAAGCAAGGCTCACTGAAAACGTGACTGAAGCCCATACTGGGGCCTAGGACTGGGCACTGCTGAATATGGAAGCAAACTCCCGGCTTGGAAAGGACTGGTGTTGTCACACCTGGGGGTGGAAATCGGGCCTTCCTGGGTGGGTAGATTTGGGACCTCGGTGTAGGAAGGGACCTGCTCCCTTGGGAGGTGAGGCTTGCGTTGTGGGGATCATGCTCGGAGAGCCAGCCTGGAGGGCACCTGCACTGGGCAGAAGCTTGCCCCAGAATCAGATGACCTGTTTCGGCTTTGAGATTCTGTTACTCTCTGTGCCGCTGTGCCCCTGACCCAGGGGACGCCCTGCTAATCTCTCAGCTGTTTGAAGCACCTGTGGGAGAAGCCTTCTGCCCATCGTGGATTTTGTCGTACGCCCCTCATCCTAGAGAGGAGACAATGCCCCTTCCCCACCTAGGCAGCGAGGCATGAGGCCAGCTTGCCCGGAGTCCCTCCCCCATTGCTGTGACTCCGCAGTTCCCCAGTGACACCTGAGCTGGCAAAGAGAAGGAACAATCAGCTCCTTCTCAGATTGGAGCAAAAGCTTGATTTTCCTGTGAATGTAACACAGCACCAGCCCCGGTCTGAACAGGAGGTACACTCCACAGACCTCGCCTGTTCTGGGGCCCTGCCTTCAGGGTCAAGGGCAAGAATGTAGCCTGGAAGGCTCCACAGTTGCTCTGTCCTCTTCTGCCCACCGCACAGCTCCAGACTCCTAGATGCAGGCAGGAGGGCGTCACATCGCGGTGAGGGGCACGGGGCTGCGGCCCAGACCCGGTGCTGAAACCCCGGCTCCGACACATACCTGCCGTAAGGGTCATTCGCCTGCTCAAAAGGCGGAATAAAATGGATCTACTGGGTTCAGTGATTCCAAATTTTAGTTAGAACAGCTTTGTGGGACATAGAGAGGCCGGAGCCAGATGTTGAGGGTCGAGGGCACAGTGGCAAGTGAGGAAGTGGCAACAGCAAGTGCAGTTTGAGAGGGAAGCCAGAGGAGTCAGGCGAGAAGGGGTGATTCTGAGCCATGTGAAATGGCACCCCCTTTACTGGCGCCAAGGCAAGAGCCGCAAGAAAGGGAGAAGGAGGTTTGACTGAGAGGGTGAGGTGGGACAAGATGTTGCAGGGCTGAGGACCAGCGGTTGAGACCATCTCGGGTGGGACCAGAGGGCAGAGGCAGGGAGAGTCCCGGGGGTCCTTTCTTCTCTGTTAACCGCTGCGCTCTTGTGCTTCTCTGCTCCACAGGCTCCTCCAGCCAGCGTCAGGTGCAGAATGGCCCGTCTCCTGATGAGATGGACATCCAGAGAAGGTAACCCCCCAGCAGCAAGGGCCACCCTGGAGGACACACCTGTGGCTGCAGCCAGGACTCCCAGAGAGACACGGGGGCGGGGGAACAGGCCTGACCAGAAAGGAAGGGGAGCCAGCTCACTGCTGCTTTGCCAGTGACCGTGAGAGGGTGTGGTTTCACGGTGGGTGGGGAGAGCTCGCCGGCGCTGCAGCCTCGTGATCAGCCTGGCAGTGTCCTGTGTCATTCACTTATTGAGCACAGCCCTCCCGGGTATATTAGGAGGTAGTCATCTGGGGATTCAGTAACGTGGCCAAGGCTGTACTGCTGGAGATGGGCGGACGTGACCCGCCAGGCCTGTGCGACTGAGGCCCGTCCTTGACCCCGTCCTGTGCTCTGTCCGAAGGCCTCGTGAGCCCTGGTCCTGGCACTCTCTCGCTGGGTGCCCTGGGTGGGTGCCACGGCCTCTCTGGAGGATCTTAACCCCCTGCCTGCTCACCTCCCGGCGGAGCTTAAAGCAGACAGAGGCTGTGAGAGCACTTTGTGCACTGCAGCTGCTCTTGGACAGCTGGGCCAGGGCTGCGCCGGTGGGATTTGGGCCATAGGGTGACGCCCTGCCCCCCCGGCCCCCTCCAAGGAGCTTCTTAAGTGTTAGAACTGGGAGGAAGGGCCAGTGCCATTGTCCTGAAGTTACAAAAGAGGTCGTGGTGGCCAAGGAGGGAGCAGCCTCCCCAGGTCACGTTGCCAGGTGAGGCAGCGTCAGGGCTTGAACCTGCTCTGTGCCTCCTGGGTGGGGACTCAGCGTCTCTGAGGGGCTTGGAGTCCCGGCTCTGTGGGAGCCGTGCTGCGGAGGCAGGCCTGGGGCCTGCATCCTCACCCGGGTCAGCGGGAGAGGACGTGCCTCCAGGGGCCTGTGGTGAGACAGGTAGAGCCCGGGGCCGGGAGCTGGGCAGGCGACATCCCCACCCTCACCTGGCTGTGAGACTCTCTCAGGGGGTTCTCTTCTCGAGCCTCTCCCCTGCTCTGAGCACCTTCTGGCCACCATGGTGTACTTTGTGACCTTGGGCCAGTTACTGCTCTAGGCCTCAGCTTCCTGTTTGAAGGTAACAGTGTTAACGAAGGAAAGATGGGAATATGCTTCCCAGACTCAGGTTGGAGAGGTTCCTTTTTTTTTTTTTTTTTTTTTTTGGCTTTTTAACAATTTATTTAAAATTTTAAAAATCATCAGATTTACCATATTAGGCATTTTTAAGCATACAGATCAGTGGTATTAAGGACGTCCACGTCATTGTGCAACCAGCATCATCACCCATCCACAGAACGTTTGCATCAAAAATGAAACTCTGTCCCCATTAAACACTAACACCCGGGCTTCCCTGGTGGCGCAGTGGTTGAGAGTCCGCCTGCCGATGCCGGGGACACGGGTTCGTGCCCCCGTCCGGGAAGACCCCACATGCCCCGGAGCGGCTGGGCCCGGGAGCCATGGCCGCTGAGCCTGCGCGCCCGTAGCCTGTGCTCCACAACGGGAGAGGCCACAACAGTGAGAGGCCCGAGTACCGCAAAAAAAAACCCAAAAACAAACAAACTGAAACTCTATGCCCAGTGAACATTAACTCCCCCCTCCCCACTCCCATAGCCCCTGGCAGCCACCATCCTACTTTCCGTCTTTATGAACTTGACTACTCTGTATACCTAATATAAACAGAATCATACAATAAGTGTTTTTGTGGCTGGTTAATTTCACTGAGCATAATGTCTTAAGGGTACATCCAGGCTGTATCATATATCAGAATTTTCTAACTTTAAAAAAAAAATTTTTTTTCTTCCTTTTTAAAGTACGTAATATTCCATCGTATGTGTAGACCACATTTTTCCTATATTATTTTTCTTGCTTTGACATTTTGGCTATTGTAAATAATGCTGATATGAACACGATTGTCCAGTGGATGAAGATGGCAGCCTTGCAGCGAGTGGCTGAGACCAGTTCCCCTGACCTCAGAGGTTCCTTTTTTTTTTTTTTTTTTTGTGGTACACAGGCCTCTCACTGCCGTGGCCTCTCCCGTTGCAGAGCACAGGCTCCGGACGCGCAGGCTCAGCGGCCATGGCTCCCGGGCCCAGCCGCTCCGCGGCATGTGGGATCTTCCCGGACCGGGGCACGAACCCGTGTGCCCTGCGTCAGCAGGCGGACTCTCAACCCTGAGCCACCAGGGAAGCCCAGAGGTTCCTTTTTATTAATTCCGCTGGCCTGTCTTCTAGCCTCTCAGGAGTATAACATATTGCAGTTTACAAGGGGTTTTTACACACTTTGTTTCATTTTAATCCTCACATTAGCTGTCAGGGGTTGTTACTACCCATACTATTTCTCACATGAGCCAACTGAAGCTCAGAGAACAGAAATGACTTGCCCAAAGTAAGCAAGACTTAGAAGCAGAACCAGAACTGGCCCCAGCTCAGCCCTGTGCCAGGTCCCAGGGCTGCCTCCACCCGGAGAAGGGCCTGCGTCCTAAACACGCCCTGCAGTTGTGCTCTCAGAACCGGTGAAACACCGCGCACTTTATCTAACGCCACCCCCAAGTCCAGTGTTCCAGGCCACTGGCTGCAGAGGGCCATTCAGTTTTGTCTGCAGTCGACTGTGCACAGACCGAGCGACCCCGGGAGGTCAGTCTATGAACCACAGGCATCAAACTGCAGAGCAGGGATCCCGCTCCCCCTGCATCCCTGGCAGTCACCACGGAGCGGGACCCAGAAAGAGAGGAATTGCGTGGTGCCCAGCACTGAGGTAGGGACTCTTTAGTGTCAAAAGGGTCTTTTTCATTATTTTTTAGATCTCGGGCATAATCCTCACAAGAACCCCATGAAACAGGTGTTCTTATGCTTATTTATGGAGCGGAATCTGAGGCCCAGGAAAGGGAAATGACTTGCCTGTAATCACAAACCAGTGAATCCCAGAACGGGAACCAGAAAGCTCTCTACCTCTAAATGACCTTGCAGTAAACTCCAGGTCCCACTTGACCTTCCTCCAAGGTGAAGGCAGCTGGGCAGCCCTGTGTAGCTATTCCACACACAGCACGTGCTGAGCAGGTGCTGCATGCACACCCGGCCCCAGCCCCAGCCGTCAGCGCGCTGCACACCAGCGGAGCAGACGCGTGGCCCACAGCCTCTCGCCCTGGGGGCGCCCTCCCGCTCAGCCCCGCGCCCCATTACAGGCCTTCAGAGTTGGCTCTCAGCAGTTGAAGCCCTGCTGCCACCCGGGCCCACATGACTCCTCGAGCCCCTCCTGCCCCAGCATCTCAGCCCCAGGTTCTGTGGATGTGTTTGTGGGTCAGTGTGTTCACTCGTCCAACCTTGAAGAGCAACCCAGGGCCACTCGTGCGAGGAGCTAGGAGGTTAGTCCCCGCAGAGGTACACCCCGCACTACAGCGCAGCTTCCCAAATGGCCCTCCAGATGGAGGCCAGACCGCAGCTGGATCAGTGGGAAAGGAAGAGGACAGGTAGTCTTAGTGTCCGCTTCTCTCACAGCCAACAATGCCTGACAGTTGTTCCAGGAAACTGAGCCAGGTGCGGTAAGAATGGGTGCCCCTGAGGTCGAGTCTGTTGTGGCCATAGGCCCCCAAAAGCTAGGCGAGCTTGTCCAGCCTAGGGGAGAGCTTGGTCTGCCCAGGTGTCTTAAGACTCGGCGGCTGCCGGCGCTCCCCTGTGTGAGCCCTGGAGCCAGGGCCTACAACTCTGCCTCTGTAAGCGGGGCGGCAAGCCCAGCAGTCGGAGCCTAGGGTGGGATGAGGCGAGCTCATTGCTGAGCCCCCGGGGGCGCCGGCGAAGCCCAGCTCTGCAGCCTGGGCTCTGACGCGGAGCCGCGCGGTCTCGCCCCAGGAGGTGAGACCCGCTCTGCTGTGTTTGCTTTTCAGACAAGTGATGGAGCAGCAGCGCCAGGAGTCTCTAGAGAGAAGAGCCTCAGCCACAGGTGAGAGCTTCCCCTACCTGTGCCCGCTGGCGCCCCTTCACTAGATGGTGCCCAGGGACACACTGGGAACGCTGTGACCAGCTGCTGGTCGCACAGGCCTCAGAGCGTGACAGCCACGCCTGGTGAACGTGGGGAAACGAGGGAACAGAGCACGGGTGCGGCGATTAACTCAGCTTGGCCCAGCCCTGCCCACCGGCCTCTGGTCCTCCCCCGACTCATCCCCTGAGTAGAGCGTGTCTCAGGCCCTGTACTAAGGGCTGAGGACACAGTGGTGGACGAGGCGGATGCACCCTCTGCCCCAGGGAGCTGACTGTCCAGTCAAGGACACAGACTAATGACCCTGGGTCACCGCGGGGCACATGCAGTTACCAAGTCAGTGCAGGGGTGGAGGCACATGGAGGGGGCCCCAGCTGCCCTGGGGGTCAGAGAAGACCCCAGGGGAGGGGTGGCTTCAGTCCTGAACAGTGACTGGAACTCAGCACAGTGAAGCAGAGGGGTTTTCTGGAACAGGGTAATGTTGATTAGTAAGCATGGGACTTCATAACTTACAAAGCACTTTCCCGTCCTTCGTTTCACTTAATCCTCTCGAGCCCTGTGAAGTAAGCAGATGAATGTTTCCCTGTCTTACTGATGAGGACCCCGGGCCCCAGCTGGCTGCAGAAGCCCCCGCTGGTGGGGATGCTGTCTGGTGCCGCCCCCTCTCAGCTGGGCCGCTGCACCCCTCGGGCTCCTGTCCCGCTCTGCCCCACCCCTGCGTTACTAATGCGGGTCTCACCCTGTCACCGGGTCACCCTTCTCCATCACTCCTGAACAACCTGGGTCCTTGGCACGGGCTCCCGGTGCGCAGGCCCAGTCCCTGCAGACCCACTGCCCTGCACACTCCCTCCCGGCGGCTCCTTCAGTTCCCGCAGGGCCTCCCCCCCTCGCGCTCACTCACCCTTCACCAAACGTCACTCCCGCTCTTCTGTCCTGTGCCAGCACAGTCATTGCTTCCCTAAGGAAGCCTTCCACAGACTTCTGGTCAGGCTGGAGCACCTCCTCACAGGCCAGGGTGGCGCTGTGCGCCTGCTCTTGGTGGCACTTGTCACCCTGCCGCGGGGACAGTTCTGCATTCATCCATGTGATTGGTTTGCTGCTACCAGGTCATGAGCACCATGAGCAGGGAGCCTGTGGCCGTTTGTCCCCAGCGCCCTGCACGGGGCCAGGCCTGCAGCAGAGGCTCGGGCGTTGGATGGTGGGTGGGGGACAGGGGACTGCCTAGCCCGCAGCAGTGCTCCTGGACAGATGCCCCGGTCTGCCCTGCGACCCGCAGCTGCCTGCTGCTGTCCCCAGAGGCCAAGGGGCAGTCACAGCTGTATCTTGGGGACTAACAATTGCTGAAGCCTAGGGGGGTGCTAGGAGCTGAGGAGAAACAGAAGGAAAATAAGACACAATTCGTGCCGCCGAAGAGCTTCTTGTCCCACTGGAAGACCACAGTTGAGCAAGAGAAAGTGAGCGTAGCTCAAGGGCTGCTAAGCAAGTGTGTGACGCCGGTCCAGCCTGGCCCCCGAATGTAGGGAGAGACTGGAACAACGCCAGGTGCATCCCGCGGGGGCTTCCTGGAAGAGGCCACCTTGAGCTGTTCCTCATCCCTCAGGGGAGTAGGCTGCCCTCTGTCCCTGCTCCCGGGGAGGCACCCGCTGGGGGCTGGGCACTCACTGAGCCCACTGTTGTTTCAGGACCCACCCTCCCAGCGGGGCACCCCTCCATTGCAGCTGGCGCCCCCCTCTCGTGTAGCGGGCCTCCACCCCCACCCCCACCCCCTGTCCCACCTCCACCCACAGGGGCCGCCCCCCCTCCCCCGCCCCCCCTGCCAGCCGGAGGAGCCCAGGGCGCCAGCCACGACGAGGGCTCCGTGTCCGGCCTGGCCGCCGCCCTGGCTGGGGCCAAGCTGAGAAGAGTCCCGCGGGTAAGTGTCCCGGGCCCTGGCAGACGAGCAGGCGGGTGGGCAGGACGGACCAGGCTGGGAGACGGGTTTCTAACTGGCAGAGGGGCGGGCGGACCCTTTCCCGCCGGCGGGGAGCGCAGCGCCGCCCTCCCCAGCCAGACGGCACCTCCCACCTCCTCGGTCACAGTTACCCGGTTACTGAGACCACTGGGACAGGGCTGCGTGAGAGCCGTAGGTGCCTCCAGTTACGTAACCTGCTGCTAGTCCTTTACAAGCGAGGCAGGAGATCTCTGCCCTCGTAGATGAGGAAACCGAGGCGCAGGCACGAACAGCTTGTTCAAAGCACGCAGGTCATCAGTTGCGGTTTGGACTCAGGCCCTGGGTCTCCTGCATTTAAGTCCACCAGCTCCCTCAGGCTCAGCTGGCCCTCCCAGCCTTCCGCAGCGTCCTGGGAGGTGGGGCTTCTAGAAGGCCGTACGTGTGGCTGTGGGATTAGGAGCACCTGGGACACAGAGCTGTGCCTCCTCCCCCCTCAAGCCATGCTGGCCTTGGCAAGGGTGCTGACCGTGAGCCAGCGAACCTGGGGCGTGCCTGCCAACCGTGACCCTCCAGTCCCAGTCGCTCTCTGGACTCCAGCTCTGCCGCCAGCAGGTGGGGTTGGGGGACTAGATGGCCTCGACCTCTTCCAGCACTGCCATCACACGTGGCCCCGTCTCCCCTCGAGTGGCGTCCTGCCACGGACACCAGACCGAAGCGCGCCGTCCTCTCCCCTTAGCCAGAAGATGCGTCCGGAGGCTCCAGTCCCAGTGGGACCTCGAAGTCTGACGCCAACCGGGCGAGCAGTGGGGGTGGAGGAGGAGGCCTCATGGAAGAAATGAACAAGCTGCTGGCCAAGAGGTGAGTGCTCAGGCTTCCCCCAGACCCAGCCACTGTCAGGAGCTGCTGTTCCTCAGTGGAAAGGTGAAGCCTCGCCTGGCCCCAGGACCCACTGTCCCCTGGGTTCAGCCAAGCAGGGGGGACTGTTCGTCGAGCTTTCCCTTCTCCAGGGGTCAGTCTGAGACGTCAAGCCAAAAGGAGTCCTCTAAACTCTAAATCCTTCCTCATTTCAGTTTAACAAGTATTCGTTGAAACATCTGCCATGTATCAGCCTTCTCCTGAGCAGAGAGAAATTTGGAGATCATTTCAGAGATAAATTCCGAGGGAAAATAGAAGTATTCCCAGCGGTGAATGTATGATGAAGGGGCCCGTCTTGTGGGGGTCCTTACAGAGGACTCGGGAGAAGGGGTGCTGAGGTGGCAGGAGCCCAGAGGACGTTACCCCTCAGGGATGGAGCAGCAGTTCCCTCCCCGTCGTGCTCAGCTCTGTGGCCTCCGCCTCCATCCTCACCAGCACATGTGCCTCCAGCTTGCCCAAGGCCATCAGCCTGTCACTATGGCTCTTCGTTGTTCCCCAACTGAATCCCAGGCAGATGGAGAGATCAGACAGCTCCCTCTCAGAAGGGTCGCAAAAGCTTGGGTCTTACTTGTAAATGTGGTGTGGCAGCGGGAATGCCCTGATGGGGTTTCCAGGGCCATGGCTCACCCGGGCACCAGAGGACCCAGGAGTGGGCCTCGCCTGTCAGCACGCTCCTTGTTGCCCAAGAAAAGCAACGGCGGGGGCCTTGCTCCCCCGTGACCCCTCCTGCCTTCGCTCAGTCTCCAGGCTCTTCCCGCCGCCCCCATGGCGGCTAACCCGGGGCGAGCGCTTTCTGTGCCGGGTCTTCGGTAAACCCACACGGCACTGCGAGGACACGGGGGAGACAGAGGCCCCCAGAGTGCAGGTAGCTGGTCTGGCACATCTCGGCGGGGCCGGCCCAGGGCCCTGTGTGCCCAGCAAGGGAGGGCACAGGGGGAGGGGAGCAGCCAGGTGGGTCCACGTGCCGTGACCAGAGGTGAGCCAGCGGCTGCGGCCGGACAGTGCAGAGCAGCTCCAGGGAGCCGGGGTGCTTCACGGGGGAGGTTCTGCGCGTCCTCTGGGCCGAAGCAGCAGAGGAGAGCGTTCTGTGCAGAGGAGCAGAGGCGGGTGTGGTGGGTGGAGTTACACTACCTGGAGAGGCTGAGACACGCCCCCCCAGAGCGCCCAGGGCCTGGAGGAGGTGGACCAGAATGCAGGCTAGAGGGGAGAGCCTCGTGTGCACGTGCGTTAGAGTCCATTCCAGAGGGGCCTCGCTTAAAAATAGAAGATTCTTTAAAAAAGGAAGTGTTCACGCTCTCCCCAAGTCCAACACCAGTGCGTTCCCAGTGACTGCTTGGCCTAGATGGTTTAGACCAAACGGAGAGGAAGCTTCTGAGAACAGGAAAAGGCCGGTGTGCCAGGAGCCAGTGAGACGCCAGAAGCTGGTGGCAGAGCTGGGCCCACCGAGAGCACTCACCCTGCACGACCGGCAAGGGGCGGCCACGCTGCTCTCTGAAGCCCACCTGGGCGTGCAGGGTGCTGGGTGGAGCCTACAAGGAGATGCACGCGAGGGCTGTTTTTTGTTTTTTTTTTTAAAGAAGATCTCTGCTTCCACTTTGTACAGACATCTAATTCTCTATCTTAATCAGCTTGTGATGCTATAAAAAAAAATCAGGATGCATGGCTTATAAACAGAATCTTATTTCCCACAGTTCTAGAGAAGTGCAAGACTACGGCACTGACAAATGCAGTGTCTGGTGAGAGCCCGCTGCCTGGTTCATAAGTGGCCATCTCTTTGCTGTGTCCTCACGTGGTGAAAGGAGCAGGGAGCTCTCTGGGGTCTCTTTTATTTATTTATTTATTTTTGGCTAGGGTCTTGTTAAAGCCCTTTTTTTTTTTTTTTTTTAAGTTGGGGTATAGTTGTTTACAATGTTGTGTTAGTTTCTACTGTACAGCGAAGTGGAGTTCCCAGTGCCATACAGCAGGTTCTCATTAGTTATCTATTTTATACATATTAGTGTATACGTGTCAATCCCAGTCTCCCAATTCATCCCACCCCCACTTCTCCCCTTGGTGTCCATACGTTTGTTCTCTACGTCTTTGTCTCTATTTCTGCCTTGCAAACAGGTTCATCTGTACCATTTTTCTAGATTCCACATATATGCATTAAGATACGATATTTGTTTTTCTCTTTCTGACTTATCTCACTCCATATGACAGTCTCTAGGTCCATCCGTGTCTCTACAAATGACCCCATTTCGCTCCTTTTCATTAGGGCTTCTTTTTCTTATCTGTCAAACAGGCATAGTAACAGAGCTTAGCTGATCAAAGGTCCTTGCGGAGTCGCTGCCTCCTCAGTTGCTGAGGCCTGTCCCGGCAGTGGACCAGGCGGGGGAACCGTGTCGCTGGGAGCTGCTCGATGCTGAGCGTGTCCACAGACACTCAGCCCAGGGAATCTTCACAGGCCTGGAGGGGCCTGGTCTGCTGGGTATCCTTAGAAGATTAAACGCAGGCTCTGGGTAGGAGCAGAATGTCACGGGCGCGGTGGCAGTAGCAGGCCAGGCAGGAGCTGGTGGTGCTTGCACGCAGCGTTGGGAGTGAAGACGGGCCAGACAGCCCAGAAACAAAGTGCTGAGCCAGAAGTGAGCGGGCCCACTGTCACAAGGAAGAAGTCGGGGATGAGTCCCGGGCTTCTGGGAAGGGCCATAGGTGGGTGGGATGAGAAGATGAGGAAGGAGCCCCCTGTGGCCGGTCCCTGGACAGGGACAGCCAGCCGGTGGCCCTCACCCCCACCAGGCCAGCTTCCCTCCTGACAGCCAGCTACCTCGTGAGCTCCGACAGCTTTGTTTGTGTCCTGGCGGCTTCACTGAGTTGAGAGCCCCCGGGGCCGGATCTTTGGAGAGCAGGAAGGGGTATGTGTGTAGATTTGGGAATTAGCCAGAGGTAGGCCACCACTGAGGCCGGAAAAGAGCAGCGAGTTCTCAGAGTGTCTGAGAAGGGGGCTCATCCCTGCGGGGAGGTGCGTGCCGTGACTAGAGGGCGTCTCTTGGGTTCTTTCCTTCCTGAGCACGTGCTGCTCTTCGTGGTGTCCAGGTCGGGGAGGACATGGCTGCTGAGCTCTGAGGTAGGAGGAGCTTTAGGGTGATAGGGAAAGGCTTCCTCCTCCGTCCCGCAGGCGGCCTGCAGACAGGATGCCCCCAGGCTGACCTGTGGCGGCGGCAGCTCTCCTGCCCCTCGTGGCCAGGCCTTGAGCGTCCTGGGAGGACAGCGGCCACCCGGCCGAGCCCAGGTCCCCCGGGACCTGGACAGGGTGCGGACCAACCTCCTCGGCCTTCAGGTGCTGTAGACAGAGATGGGGTGCCCCCCACCCCACCACCCAGACCAGTTTTGTGTCCAGGGTCCTGGGGCCAGCACAGAAGGCCTAGACACTCACCCGGGCATCGCCACGGGCCAGATGGGTGCCTGGACAAGTCATCTCCTTCACACAAAACAGGGGTCACACCCCAGCAAGGAGTCTCTGAGAACCAAGCTGTGTCCGCACAGAGGCGACGTCTGCTCTGTGTGGAAACCTTTCGGGCTGATTGTATCTTCTCCCTCCTTGTGTTAGGAGAAAAGCAGCCTCCCAGACAGACAAGCCGGCTGATAAAAAGGAAGACGAAAGCCAAACGGTAAGCACACTCCACGGCCAGCCCACCCCGGCTTCCCCAGAGGTATGAATGGACCAGGCCTGCGGGACACCGTGTTTGGGCATACACGCGGTAGATACTTCGCTGGGTGATTTGTAGGGGGACAGGGGTGACAAGAGGGACAGGAGGGGGTAGTGCAGGGGGACAGGGCCTGTGGGCGCTCATGTCCGTCCCCGCTGCACCGGGTGGCAGGCCTGTGCTCACTGAGGATCTAGCAGACACTGCTCTGCTTTGGAGCTCGCAGCCTCGCAGGGAAGGCAGGTAAGAGGCAGAGAAGCAGGACCCGCCTGGGAGCGCCTTGAGGGAAAGGCCTGGAGGCTGGGGAGCTCAGAGGGGCAGCAGACAGATCTCAAAGGACTCGGGGGGTTGGAGACTACAATCGCAGTAGGCAGTGTCTGCTTGAAGACCAGGGCAGTTATTATTTTCAAATTATTCCTGTTTTTGAAAGGCTTCACTTGAGTCCATGGATTCCAGCAGGAGCCGCAGGTGAGCTGGGCAGAGGAACCCAGCGCTCTGGCTCTTGTCCTGAGGGGGTCCTGGAGCCTAGTCTATCCACACAGGTTCCAGGCTCCCGCCGTCACTAGGGTGGCTAACACTCTTTCCCTCTGTGTTAAGCTTTCCCTGTAAAAATAGACTCCTACTGAAACGGCTAAGTTTAGACCTTAACTACAGATGGCATACAGGTTGCATCTCGGTGGCAGGAGACAGAAGAAATATTACAACCACCAGGCGCCAGGGTACCGTGCCACCCCTGTCAGCAGGGCGAGGCTTACCGGGTGTGACCCCCGGGCTCCAGCCTTGCCAGCGGCCCTCCCTTCCCCTGGTCCCCCCGCCTGGCACATGCGGTCCCCTCGGCCCCAGCAGCTAACTCCTCCTCGGCTGCACTTCTCTGTGTAAACAGTACTCCCTGAGAAACAGGCTCCCGACCTCCAGGCTAGTAAGGCTCTCTACTACTTGGACCCCGGGCCCCCCTCCCCACCATGCTTCTCCTCTGCCCTTAGCACACACATTTTTGCTTGTTCAGACTCGCTCGTTCCTGCTGGATCGTGAGCCCTGTGAGGACCAGGCGTGCATATTCCACTGTTCCCATGCCTTGCACAGAGTATGGAGTTCATCCAGCTAACTCCCCGCTAATTTCTCAAACTGCAGAGGCCTGTCTGGCCAGGAGCCCAGGAATAATTACAGGTCTCCAAAGGCGCCGGCCAGTTCCCACCATCACAGCTCCAGCCCCGGTACCCAACCTCCCTCCTCCCTGGTCTCCAGGAAGAGTGTGTTTCAAATCCCAGGGACCCAGGAGGAATCTTTGACCCCAAGGGTAGAGTTTTCTTCCTCTGACTCCCCTTTTTCTTTCCTTTCCTTTCCTTTTTTAAGAAGCCTCCTGGTCACTGGGAGTTCTGTTTGCCTTGGTCCCCCGCAGTCAGGAGGCCCATGCCCGCCCTGGAGCAGCCTCTTCCAGGGCAGGGCTAGGGCAGTTCCACACACCAGAGCAGGTGCCGCGTGGACGGAGACACTGGAGACTGGCTTTTCTTCTTTCTTTTTTCTCTTTTCTTTTTTGTTTTTTTGGCCACGCTGTGCAGTTGGCGGGATCTGAGTTCCCCGCCCAGGGATTGAACCCGGGCCCTCAGCAGTGAGAGCACCGAGTCCTAACCACTGGACCGCCAGGAATTCCCTGGCTTTTCTTTTTTATACTTTTCAGTGTTTCCCAGATCCTCTTCATCAAACATTTACTAGGTTTATAATTAATGAGAAACAAATAAGCATTAGTTAAAGAAGGAAAACACCCCAAATGTGGAGTCAGATGTGGCTCAGGCGGGTGCTCTGCCGCTTGCTGGCCACAGGCCAGTTATGTCACTGCTCTAAGGACGTGTTCCTTGGCATGAAAACACAGGCGCTGGGCCGGCAGCCTCGGGGCAGGGGTGTGGGCGCAGAGCCCCCTGCGCTGGGAGCGAGGAGTCTTGTTAACTGTTTTTGAAATAATAATAGGATGACACAAAACAACTTACTGATTTTTTTCAGTTACTCTAACTTCACCCATAATGGCTTTCATTCTTGCCTGTTTCCTCTGGGCCCTGGTTCCCACGCATACGTGTTGATTTATATAATTTCATTTATTCCTCTTTAAACCAGAGCACTCAGGAGACTTGTCCTGAGACCCACGCCTAGCACATTCTTTTGCCCCTGGACCAGCAACTCCCGGGTTCATTCAGTCACCGCGCAGATACAGGGTGGGGGGGGGTTCCTGATAGGTCTGATAGGTGCCAGGTCTGCTCTCAGTGCGGGGACCAGGCGTGAGCAGTCGTGGTCCTGGCTCTCACAGCCTCGCGTTAGGTGGAGCGGGTGTGGTGGGTCCTGATTGGAGCGCTGAGCCTGGAGTCCTGGCCCTGGAGGTGGCCGTGAGCATCCGAGAGCCCTCACCCCAAGGCTCGGATGGACCAGATGGGAAGCAGAGTTGACGTGGGCAGTGGCAGAAGGCGATTCTTGGCTTTGGTTAGCATTATGCTAGTTCCGTCTCGTCAGGTCGGCTGGCTGTCTCTGCTCAAAAGCTCCGGGTAGGGCGTCCCTGGTGGCGCAGCAGTTGAGAGTCTGCCTGCCAATGCAGGGGACACGGGTTCGTGCCCCGGTCCGGGACGATCCCACATGCCGCGGAGCACCTGGGCCCGTGAGCCATGGCTGCTGAGCCGGTGCGCCGGGACCTGGGCCTCAAAACTGGAGGGAGCAAAAAAAGGGGGGGCCCCGGGTACCGGAAAAAAAAAAAAAAAAAAGCTCCAGGTAGCAGCTGTATGTGTTTTGCTTGAGAAAAATGGAGGAATTATGATTACTTAATAAATGCCATTTTCCTAAGAGTGTAGAATCTTTCCAAAATATGTGTGATAATAAGCGTCAGCTTGTATTACTGCTGCATTACTCACCTCCATTACAAGTGTCGCCACAGACTTATTGCACGGGCCGCCTTCGTGGGGCCCCGCTGGGAGCCAGGCACGGGTGTCCTGGGTGGATAGGACCATGGCCTCTGTGCTCAAGGGAGGACACAATAAACTGACTGCTGACAAAGAAAAGTGCTGAGGACAGAGACGGAGCACCAGGGCCCTCAGCCCTGCGAGAGCTCCCAGGACAGGCGGCATCTGCCCCGAGCCCTGAGAGGAGCGGGCGTGCAGGACAGAGACGCGCAGCGGCCGTGTCTGGGGGATGGTGGGGCGCACGGGCGAGCGGCTGGAGGCTCGGGGCTCCGCCTGGCCCACTGGCCAGCAACACTGATGAACCCGTAGCCTGGTTGGGCTAAAGATAACCTTCAGAGCATTCTGAATTCTTTTTTTCTTTTTTTTTTTTTCTTTTTAATTTTTGGCCGCATTGGGCCTTTTTTGCTGCGCGCGGGCTTTCTTCTCTAGTTGTGGGAGCAGGGGCTACTCTTCATTGCGGTGCACAGGCTTCTCACTGTGGTGGCTTCTCTTGTGGCACACGGGCTCTAGAGCTCAGGCTCAGTAGTTGTGGCTCACGGGCTCTAGAGTGCAGCCTCAGTAGTTGTGGTGCACGGGCTTAGTTGTTCCGCGGCATGTGGGATCTTCCTGGACCAGGGCTCGAACCCGTGTGCCCTGCATTGGCAGGTGGATTCTTAACCACTGCGCCACCAGGGAAGCCCCTACATTCTAAATTCTTAACGCTTCCTCCTCTCCTGTGAAAGAGAAGTGAAGTGCCGGGGTCTCTAGGACTCAGGCTGTGTCCGTGCCCAGCCTTGACCAGCAGGGCTGACTGGAAGCAGGCTCCTCCCAGGGCTGTGGAAGGGTCCCGGTGGACAAGGGGTGGCAGCACCTCGTGAGGGACAGTGAGTCTGTGGGCAGCGCCAGGCCCGGGGTCCAGGCCACGTCCACTGTGTCCCCCTGCAGGCTTCTCCTCCCTGACTTCCGTGGGGTGGACCACCTCCCCACCACGACCTGGGGTTTTCATTGGTGAATAGTATTTGTTGTTTCACTGATTATAAAAATAATATATGTTCGTTGGCTAATTTGGAAAACTGAGGTTTTCTAGATAACCTGGCCCAAAGGTCCCCCACCCAGCCGGCCTTCCTAAGCAGGCCGACGGCAGAGCCTTTCTCTTCCATTTCAGGAAGAGCCGAGCACCTCTCCATCTCCGGGGACCCGAGCAGCCAGCCAGCCCCCCAACTCCTCAGGTAAGGTGCACCGCCCTGCCGGCGCCAGCACGGGGCCTTAGCACAGGAGGGGCTCTTACAGGAAGGCAATCTGATACCCCTGCCTCACTTTACGGTGAGCAGAGAGGCTGCGCTGGTGGGGGGCTCCCCGCCATCTTCGCGGCCTCCACGCCGAGCCTGAGCAGGGGCACCCTGGAGGAAAGACCACCCAGTCTAAGCCTCACGTCTCCCAGCCGGCCTGCCAGCACCTACCGAGTGGTGTGGGAGACCGTGCCCTGGGGCTCAGGTTCACGGCCTTGGGCCCGTGCTCCAAAGAGGGGCACGTAAATGTCACGTTCCTGCACCCTGCAAAGCGCCAGCTGTGACCCATGTCACAGTGATTAGCAGTGAGTCTCGCTCACTGGGAAGTCAACCAGACAAGGCGGTCCTGAACCCCGTGCAGAAATCCCCCAGTCTGAGCTCTGGAGCGGGGGTTGCGATTAGAAGAGTGCCTTGAGGCTCTACGGTGGGAAGAAGCCACCGCAGTCAGTCACTCGTCCAACATTTCAGTGTCTGCTCTGAGCCAGGCCTGTGCTCCTGAGCACATGGTGCGGTGCAGGCTTGGGAGAGGCGGAGGGGAAATAGCGCCCCCGCCCCAGCCAGCGGAGGGAAGCTCTTGCCAGGTGCTGGCTGCTCGCTGGGGCACGGCTCTGCCCCGCACGGGCCTAGCGTCCTGACTGTTGGCACGTCTGCCTCCCTTGCGAGGCTGTGGTCTGTGCCCTCTCCTTCTCAGGCAGTGCCACCACAGTTCTTGGTGAGTGACTGCACGAACAGCTCACATCCCAGTGGATGGGTTGTTCCCAGTCTAGGAGGTTGAGGCTCGGTGTGTTTAAATGGCTTCCTCCAGGCTGCATGCCTGGACCCTGGACGTGGTCCCAGCTCTCGTACCTGCCCTGCAGACCCAGCGTGGGCCCGTCGGCCTGCACAGTCTCCAGGCTCAGCTCAGGGTGGTTGGCCCCCTGCTGCCCCAGGGGTTTTTCCTTCTGCCTCTCTGCTCATCCTGCAAAGTCAGTGAATTCTGTCCAGCTCAACAAATCTCTTGAAGTAAAACGAGATGTAGTTTAACACCAGTTAAAAAAGAAAAAGGAAAGACAAATCAACTTTGAAGCCCAGGCTGGGAAAGAACCAGCTGCAGTGTTGGGGGGGCAACCAAGAAGTCGGGGGACAGGGGGTGCACGTGGGTCGTGGGCCTGGCCCCTGAAAGCGAACGTGGACCCCGGGCTGCCCTGAGAGTGTCCTGGTGGGGGGCCTCCTGTGCCCTGCTCGGCCCACTGCTGGAGTCCCAGGTCGCCTCTAGAAGTCGTAGTTAAGAGGTTCCCTGACCAGCTGGCTCACGTTCCAAGGACAGACCCAGTCATGGTGAGAGGACTCAAAGCCAGGCCACAAGGTCAACCGAGTCGAGGGAACAGAGGCTCATATCCTGAGGTGGGGGAGATGCCGGGTGACAGCAGGGCCATCTACACCCTGCCAGGGCCGCCTGGGCCAAAGGGGACTGGAATAAGGAGCCGGGTCTCAGCTGTGACGGGGGAGCACGGGTGGGCCTCCTGCCCGGGACGCTGTGGGATGGGGGCCGCTGAGCGCCCTCCCAGCTCTGAGGTGCTTCATCCATGACGTGAACCGACAGAGGCCGGCCGGAAGCCCTGGGAGCGGAGCAGCTCGGCGGAGAAGCCCGTGTCCTCCTTGCTGTCCAGGTGAGCTGCCCCGGGAAGGCTGGCCCTGCGCCCGGGTCAGTGGGCCCAGGTGGGCGACGGCACCAACTCACCTCTCTGTTCCATTCCGTTCCACCGCGCAGAACCCCGTCTGTGGCCAAGAGCCCCGAAGCTAAGAGCCCCCTTCAGTCGCAGCCTCACTCTAGGTACCGAACAGCCCCGCCTGTGGGGCCTCCTTTGTCCCTTGCCCATGACTAACACCCCGGATCCCACCCGTGTCCTGTCATCTAACAGTCGGCTCTGGGAAAGGGCGGTCTGTGCTTCGTCAGGGACAGGGCGGGCCAGCTACTTCCTGTCTTCTCCTAGACAGAGGGCCCGCGGCCAGGGGAGGGGAGTGACTGTCCAGAGAGGCAGCGAGGTGGAGCCGGGATCGAATCCCAGCTCTGGCCTCGCTAATTGTGACACCAGGCAAGCCAGGGAACCTCTCCGAGCCTCCACTGCTCCCCCACGCCACGAGGAGGCCTCTTCATCCCTCGCGCACAGGGTGACCATGTGTGGACAACAGCTGGACACAGGAAAACTTCAGCAGCCCTGGCTGCATCCCGCAGCTCAAAATCCCGGGGGCTGGCCCTCTCCTTCCTCTGCCTTTTCCCCAGAGATACGCTGACCACATTTCCCAAACCAAAAGCTGATGTGATAACAGGATGGGTTGTTTGAAACTGAGGTCACCCAAAAAATCGAGAGACAGTCACACAGTAACTATGGGCCAAGTGTGGCCTGAATTTGCAGGCTTCTAGAATCCGTACTAAGAAGTGTCTTCAGTGCCCATCACAAATTGGAGGGGAACAGCCCAAATCCCAGAGCAGGTGGAGTTTGAGCCTGGTCTTGCCAGATCAAACAAGGTGACCAGAGAGAGCTCCAGCCGGCCCAGCAGGAGTGGCGATGACAGATGCGGGTGAACAGGGATGAGGGGTCTCGGCGGCAGCCAGGATTTGTGGAGGGCCTTTGTCAGCCAGGCTCTGAGCTGGGCCCTGCAGGTCCCTGCCTGCAAGGAGCTCATTTTCCTGTTGGAAAGGCCCGTAAATAAGACAACTGTGAGTTCTGAGAGGTGCTCTGGGGAAGACGTAGAGGGCCGCGTGGTGGACGGGGCTGGGGACGGGGGTGCTTTAGCGAGTGGGCCTCTCAGAGGTGGCATTTGAGTTGACCCGGTTGAGAGGGAGCCTGCCCCGTGGAGATTGTGGGCACGGCCCTCCAGGCCGAAGGAGTGGTAAGTGCTAAGGCCCTGAGCCTGCCACCAGCCTGGCAAGTTCAAAGAACAGAAAGCAGGCCGCTGTGGCTGGCAGGTGATCGGACGTGGGGAGGGCAGAGGGAGGCACGTTTAGAGGGACAGGAAGGAGCCGCACGGTGAGAAGTGTGGATTTTATTCTGTGTGCGGGCCCCAGTCTCCGAGCTCTGAGCAAAGGGCGCCGCGATGGAGTTGCTCTCTGGGCAGCTCGCTCTGGCTGTGAAGCGAGAGGTGGACCGGAGCCGGGCGGGAGCCAGAGCAGCCGGGGAGGCGAGGCGGCCGGGGCTGACCTGCAGCTCCCAGCAGAGCTAGCTGCTTCCTGGTCGTGGAGTAAGGACGGGCGGCCAAGTTCTGAGTGGCCAGGCGTCCCTCACAGGGCAGGAGTGTCATCTAGGGCATTCCTACACGTAAGAGGGCTCTCCGGCTCCGAGCCAGAGCGCTTCTCCAGACTCACAGACGGGGCGGGTGCCGCAGGGCTCACAAAAGCTGTCGGGGTCACCATCGGGGGGACTTTCCAGGTCTGCAGATGGGGGGACCGAGGCCCAGAGAGGTGAAGCAGTTTGTCCAGGTGACTGGAAAATTGCTCTTGGAACAGGGACTTGAAACTACAGGATGGGTGTGACGGATCCAGGGATCTCAGGCCTGACGTCTTTCCACATCAGGACGCAAAGTTACTTACAGACTCAGTCAGGACCACATTTATTGAGTCTCTTTATTGAGTTCATCCAGGAGGGGTGCAGGAGCACTTTTTCTTTTCTTTTTTAACCCAGCTTTGTGCACTGGACACTAAAATTTTATTTACATAGCATTCAGTGGTTTTTTTTTTTAATCCAGTTTTATTGAGATATAATTGACATCTAGTGTTGTGTAAGTTCAAGATGTACCACACTGTGATTTGATATACGTATGTATTGTAAAATGGTTACCACAGTCAGGTAAGTTAACTCGTCCATAACCTCACACAGTTACCTTTTTTTGTACGTGTGTGGTGAGAACTTTCAGATCTATTTTCTTCGCTCCTTTCAAGCATACGATACAGTTTCGTTAACTATAGTTACCGTGCTGTACGTTACACCCCCAAGAGGGAACCCATCTTATTAGCGGAAGTGTGTGCCCTTGGACCACCTCCACCAGTTGCCGCCACCCACTAGCCCCTGGCAGCCACGAGTCTACGCTCTGTTTCTGAGTTTGGTTTTTCTAGATTTTACATATAAGTGAGATCATGCAGCATTTGTTTTTCTCTGTCTGGCTTATTTCACTTAGCATAATGTCCATGTTGTCACAAATGGCAGGGTTTCCTTCTTTCTTGTGGCAGAATACTCCATTATGTAACCGTGTGATGTACGTATGTACACGTGTGTGTACATATACTCACACGCACACAGATACAGACATGACATCTTCTGTCTCCATTCATCTGTCAGCGGACCCTTGGGTTGTTCCCGTGTCATGGCAGTTGTGAATAACGCTGCAGTGAACATGGGGGTGCAGCTGTCTCCTGGGACAGTGATTTCATTCCCTTCGGCTGTGTACCCGGAGGTGGGATTGCTGGCTCGTGTGGTCATTGCGTTCTTAATTCTTTGAGGCCCCTCCACACTGCTCTCCATCGCGGCGGCACCGGCACTTTAGCTTTCATGCTTGTCCTCCTTCACTGTGGAGGACACCAGCCCCCGATTTCCCCAGATGGACCTAATCTGTACAGTGACCCCTGGTAGCCATGCCAGTCCGCCAGGTCAGTGTCTGTCCGCCAGCTGTCACATCCACGATCCCTGCAGCTGGCTCTAGCCACATCATTTCCCTGAACCTGCCTTTCTCTCCACGTGGGGACAGAAAGTGGATCCAGAAAGTGTACCCTCAGCACCATGGTCCTGCTTTGAAAGGCCAGGTGGTTAGACGAGCGTTTGCCAAGATTTCCTTCCTTCCTCCCTTCCTCCCTCCTTCCGTCCTTCTGTCTTTCCCTCCCCTCCTCTCTTCCACTGGTGAGATCTTAGTTCTCCGACCAGGGAGTGAACTTGGGCCCCGGCTCTGAAAGCAGCAAGTCCTAACCACTGGACCGCCAGGGAATTCCCTGCCAAGATTTTCCAGGGAGGATTCATGTGCAAGAGACATTAAGTTTCAAACCAGCTAACCTTAGTTCGGAAGCATCAGAGGACAGTCCCCAAAACTGAAACCTTTGCCTGAGACGAGCAAAACCACATCCAAGGACGTTTCCTGAAGTAATTACACACCAGAGCCGGTTACCAACACCAGGGACACGTGTTTGTGTCGGAAGTGGGTGCCTTTAGGATGAGTGTTTAAGATTTTTGCAATTTTGTCTCGTATTTAATGCCATCGTTACTGGTTTTCCCCAAGCCTCCGTCTAGCCAGGAACGTAGACCCTCACTGAGGACCAGCTTATCGGGGTCCCTTTCCAGGGGAGGCAGCATGTGACGCTGTCCGCTTACGTGGCTGCTTCTGTGTGAGAGCTGTCAAGTCAGAAGACCCCAAGTCCTGACTCTTGGGTTGGGAAATATGGTCGCAGTATCCATGAGCCCCTCTCGAGGTGGAGACAGGGCATTGGAGTCCTTTTCAGGTAGCTAAGGAGCGGCCGGAGGTAGAAGCAGAAAGCGTGTGAAGGACGATGGGAGAGGGCAGGGCTGGGCCCGCAGCGGGGAGGCGCCGGGGCACCGCTCGGTCTCCCAGCACGGGGGCGCCTGCCGGGCCCCAACGCCCACCTGACCGCACCCTGCCGCCCTCTCCCCAGGATGAAGCCGGCGGGAAGTGTAAACGACGTGGCCCTGGATGCCTTAGATTTAGACCGGATGAAACAGGTGAGTGTGTCCTTCCCGGAGAGGCTGTGAAGGAGCCAGAGGCTGGGGACTTGTCGGGGCCGCGTGGGCAGGCAGGCCCGCCCTCTTGCCCAAGAGGGCCACATGCGGCTGCCAGCAGTCGGGAGCCGGCGGTGGGGGAGGGGACACGCACAGCGTTGGTCCCCCTGCCCCTGTCCTCACCAGGAAAAGGCTCTGGGCGCTCCCGGCCCGCCTCTGGGGCTTCCCCTTCCTGGCACCCCGGCTCCTCCTGAGTATTTCTCAGGCGTGGGAGGGTGTCCCATGTCCCACTCACACACCGTTCCCCAGTTCCCCAGCTTGGGGAGGGAGCCGAGAACACGGGGTGACATGGGCAGGGGTGAGGGTTGTGGCGCTGCCCCTGCCTCTCGATCAAGGCCACTTCTCCTCTGCTGTCTGTCCCTTCACTCCGAGGCTCTGCTCCCACCAGGAGATCCTCGAGGAGGTGGTCCGCGAGCTCCACAAAGTGAAGGAGGAGATCATCGACGGTGAGTAGAGGGCCCCCACCCCCGGCATCGCCCTGAGCCGGGGTGCACCCAGCGTCCTTGAAGACGGAGGCCTGCCTGCGCCCAGGGCGGCCAAGCAGGGGTCCAGGATGGTCCAGCCAGGGAGGCCGTCCTGGGCCAGGAGGCCTGGGCCTTGTACCAGCGTGGGGGCGGGGGTCAGTCTTCCTCCCAGCGGCCAACACCACCCTCCCGAGTCTCTGAGCAAACTGAGACTCAGATTAAGCGCCTTGTCTAAGGACGGGGACGCCCTGCTGGTCTACCGCCTCAGTCCGAGTCTTCCCAGGATTAGCCTGTGTCGAGGAGAAAGATGCGAGAGGGCATTCCCAAGCCCAGAGCAGCCCTGAATTACCTGCTGCTTAGCTCGGCATCCGTGGACTTAATTACTTCTTCTTCTTCTGCCGCTTCTGGTCACTGGGTTTGGGGTTATAGGGGCAACCGCTGCCTGCCCAGAGGTTTAGGGGTCCAGGAAGCCACAGAATTGCCTATGGGCCTGACCTAGTTCACAGCCTGCTTGGCCGGGCCTGAGGGAGCAGGCACGTGGCTCCAGAGGCAGGGCCTCGTCACAGTGAATCACATCCGTCCTTCCGGTCCCCACCGGAGCCTTTGATACCGCTGGCTCAGATCTGGAGCCAGAGGAAAAGGAAAGGTTCGGGCCGGGCTGGCTCCGCCCGACAGAGCAGTGAGGCACAGCCTGGTGCCCACACCCCTCCCCATCCCACCTGCTGGGCGCTGGTGGCGGAGGGCCGCCAGACATGGGAGAGAGGAGAGGCGGCTGGGAACCTGCGTGGGGTGCCAGCAGAGCCGGACCCCTGCCCAGGGCTGGGTGACGGCCACACCCCATCCTTGACCCAGAGGAGAGCACTCAGTTCCTGTTTGCCCAGTCCCCCCACAGGCCTGGGATGGGCAGATACGGAGTTAATGAATGAAAAGAGAAAGCAGAGCCAGAGAGGAGACAGAGGCCAACTATTAACCCTGCTCTAATGCTGGGCACTCCCACCTCAGGAGGGCTGCTTGTGTGGCCCCAGGGCCAGGGCTGGTGTGGGGCCCGAAGCAGGGCTGCCAGCCAGCCAGCGAGCAGAGGGCACAGGCCTCGACGGAGGGAGCCAGTGGGTGTGGGGGGCCCCCGTCTCTGCACCTGCCACAGCGCGGCCATGGTGGACGCAGCCTCTGGGGCGGGCGGCTGAGAGGCTGGGGGAGATGTGGGCCCTGGGGGTCTCCTGGAACCCTCCCCTCGTTCCCCTGCTGCTGGAGACAGGCCCGGCCCTTAGCTCTCTCTCCTGGCCTTCGGCTGCAGGCCCCCTGGGGTCTGTCTGGGCAGAGGCTCACATCTGGGGGAGGACTCTGGGGAGAGGAGTGGGGAGAAGCCCCGGCCCCCTCCGGATGGGGCGAGCCCAGGCCCGGGAGGCAGGGCGTGGGAGCCCTCCGCCCTGCTCAAGGTCACCGACCTGATGCTGCCCCTGGGGGCGGGGTGGGGGGCTTGCCGGTCCTCCGACCAGAGCTGGGCTGCCTGCCTGCCCCTTACCGGTTCGTCCTCTGACGGGGAGGGGCGGTGCCATCCTCGAGGGACTGCCAGCTCACGACTCTGACGGGGAGGGGCAGTGCCATCCTCGAGGGACTGCCAGCTCACGAGAAGCGGCAGATGAGACCCACAGAGGGCTTTGCTGTCACCCCGGAGTCGGCCGGAGCCCGCTGCGCTGCTTGCCCTCTGGCCTGGGGGCCAGCGGGGCGGCTCTCGGGAGACAGAGCGGGGCAGACCCCAGGCAGGACCTGAGCAGGCCGGCGAGCGGCGCCTGAGCCTCCTGTCCCGCCCTGTCCCCTCAGCCATCAGGCAGGAGCTGAGTGGGATCAGCACATCGTAGGTCGCTCGGCCCCCGACGCCGCCTGAGACCCGGTCCAGCCGAAGGCGGGGACAGCAAGGAGCCCAGCGCCCAGGCCTCCAGCACACACGAGCACGCACTGAAGCTAGGATGTGCTTCGTTTAAAAGTCTTAACCTGTGATAAAATATTAAAATGAGGAAAAAAGTTCAGCTCCTGGATTTTTTTAGATTCAACCTGACACAGCACACCAGGCCTGTCGCTTTTTTTTGTATTTTATATTTGCCTATTTAAGTGTACATTCCTTTCGGTTTATAGAGAAGACACCCCGAGTCAGTCACGCGCCTCGCTAGATGGTTTCAAGTTTTCTCCTAGGTGCCACCGGGAGCAGCGGCCGCTTCCACGTGGCTCCTTCCCAGCGTCCTGGTGGTTGGGGTCCATCCACGCACCAGGCGGTCTGTGTGCACGTGGTAATAAACGCTTACCGTCCACACCCCGGCTCCGACTCGCTGGCTGTTGGCGGCTCCCGGCCGGGGAGGCCTCTTTTGGGGGAAGGGCCCACGGCAGTGGCGGCCGTGGGTGCGAGGCTGGGCTGACTCAGATGCGAGGGGGGATGGGCCGCTGAGCTGCGCAGCTCAGGCACTGCCGGCGGGGGGCCCAGGAGCCTCCCCCCGGGGCCTCCTCCAGGGAGACGGGCTCTGAGTGGCGCCTGGAACATCAGCAGGGCCGGGAGGAGGCACCAGCTTAACCTCCCCGCCGCGCAGAGGGGCGCCCCGTGACTCGGGCCCAGCAAGGCGGGCAGGGAAGGCCTCGGCCCTGCCCCACGAGTCTCCTGCAGCCCCCAGGGAGGAGCACAGGTCCCCGCCTCCGTGGCAGGAGGGGCAGCCCGGGTGCCCACCTGAGGCACTTCCCAGCACTTCTCAGACCGCGCAAGGCCCCCGTTGGAGCCAGAGAGGGTCTGGCTGTCCGCCTTGGCGACTGCTGCCCCTGAGCCAGGAGTGAGGGAGGCCCCAGCCAGTGGAGAGGCTTTGGCCTCCTTTGACTATCACGCGGGCGCCCCAGCCGGTGGAGAGGCTTTGGCCTCCTTTGACTATCACGCGGGCGCCCCAGCCAGTGGAGAGGCTTTGGCCTCCTTTGACTATCACACAGGCGCCATGGCACAGTGTGCCCAGGCGCTGGCCCAGCCGTCCTCTGGGGGCCACGGGAGGAGGGCCCCCAGTCTGGCTCGTGACAGCGGGACTGTTTTCTGGCCAGGCTCTGGACACACCGTCTCACCGAGTGCTCCCAGCGACCCTGGGACACAGGAACAGGGCTGTTCTGCTGGTTGGGAGGTGAGCGGCTTTAACCCACACACAGCTCCATGAGCGGCTCTCCCGGGCTCCTTCTGCCTCCCGCCGTCCAGGAACCCTGTCGCCTCGGGGCCTCGGGGAGAGAGTCCTGGCAGGTGGCGAGGGGGTGCTCCCCTCTTCCCGGGCAGCTGCCTCTCGAGAGAGTTGTGCCAGACCCCTGCCCTGGGCCCACCTTCGGCTCTGGGTGAGGCCCAGCCGTGACCGTCCCGTCGGCAGATAAGCTCGCTGGCGGACACGGAGAGCTCGCGAGGCTCAGCTGGGCTCTCTGGGGCTCCCCTGGGCCCAGGCCAGCGTGTGTGCACAAGGAGGGGCCGCCTGTCCAGGCTCAGAGCCGCATTGCCCTCCCACAGCCAGTCCAAGGGCCTCTTCCCCGGGCCATCTCAGTGGTCAGAACACCCGGGGACAGGGGTGCCTGGCACACGCGAGGCCACTCCCAGCCCTGAGCAGGAAGCCTTTGCGTAGCAACTGCCCTGTCTCAGGCACCTGAGACCTTCCTCCCCTCCCAGCTGGGCCTTCCTACCAGCCCTCTCTCTCCCGGGCCAGCTAAGGCAGCCCCGCCGTGCCCACCCCTAGGCCATGGTCCTCGGCCTCCCCAGCCTCACGGCTCCAAAGGGAGGCCGTCTTGGCCCAGCCGCTTCCTCTGGCAGGGAGGGCCTCGCCCAGGCATCCCTCCTGCTGCCCGCCTGCCTCTGGAAGACCAGGACCCACACCCCGACACAGCCCCCGGGCCAAGGAGCTGGCGCCAGCGATGCCTCCCCACCTCTCAGCTGGGCCATTAGCCCTCCGCACAGTCTGGACGAGCCGCATCCCGCTTCGCAGAGACACCGAGGACACCAGCCAGCTTCCGCCAGAGCCCTAGCTCACTTGGGCAGTCACGCGTCGGTCCAGCGGCCTGTGGTACCTGTTCTCCTCAAGCCCCACATCTGAGCTGGTGGGGGTGAGGGCCCCAAGGTGCAGCAGGAGCTCGGCAGGCGCGGGGGTTGGGGGCAGGGTTGTGGCGGGAGCAGGGACGTGGCCCGAGGACCACGTGCATCTCATCTCTGCCCACACCCCCAAAACCGGCCACTCAATGACAGGGTCCCCGGGGAAGGCTGCCCCAGAGGGAGGAGCGTGGCCTCAGGCCCTGCTGGCCAGGAGCCGAGCCCACTCCTGGGAAGCACCCTCTGTGGACTTGAAAACAGGCTGCTTTAAATTTAGGGCATGGGCACGCCAGAGAAATCAGCTCCCTGGGCACAGGGCACCCAGCGCCGGGCCAGGCCTCGCACATGACGTCCTGAAAGGGAGGGCCCGGCCTGCGGTCACCAGTCCCCGTGCAGACCAAGCCTCTCCAGGCTGCCACCCGTGCCCGCTGTCTCCAGGCGTGGTCTCGGGACTCCAGGGGGACAAGAACAGCAGCCTAGGGTGCGGGAACCAAATGCAGCCAAACCAGTTCTGGGCACTGTACGCCCTGGGGACAGGTGACGGCCAGCCCTGCAGGTGGGCGGGGCGAGGCCGGGCAGCAAACAGAGAGCACAGGCCCTGCTCCCACCGGGCACTGAGGCGCGCGCAGCAGGGTCCGTGCTCTCGGGGCGCCGGCCGTCGGGCTCACAGGCCGTCCTTCGCCAGCTTGCACACCCGCTTCACCCTGGCGTAGGGCCCCAGGGAGTCCTCGGACACAAAGTCCCAGAGCACCTTCACCCACGAGTAGTGCTGGGGCAGGTGGTCGTAGTACTCGGGCGCGATCTTCCGCACCTGTGGAGAGGGCACATGGGTCAGAGGCCGCACACAGGCACGTGCACAGCCACAGGCGCACGTGCGCGCAGACACACGTGAGCACACAGACCACGTGAGCACATGCGCAACCCTGTCATCTCCCAGGGTACCCGTGTACGGGCCAGCCGGGCAGGAGGCTGCCCGGCGCTGCCCAAAGGCGGAGGGGCCATTGGCCGGGGGCACCAAGAGGCGCTGAGGCCCCTGCCCCAAATGGGGGTGAGGAGTTAAAATGCACACCCCCCTCCCCGGAGCCCACACCCCGAGTTTCTCATCCAGGAGCCTCAGGGTGGCCAAGTCCTGCTGAACCAAGGTCACGTCCACGCGCCTCAGCCTGGCGTTCGGTGCCCTCTCGGACCTGCAAACCCCTCTGACCTTGGCTTCCACCATACTGCCAGCCTCAGGAGAGGCTGATTTATTTCCCCCTCCAGCTCCCTGCCCCTCTCTGCACCTGACACCCTCAGCCCGCCTCCTCCAAGAAGTGCTCCAGCCTCAGCACCTACGTGCACACCAACTGCAGGGAAGGCCTCCCCCTCCCCCCACAGAGGACACACCAGGTGCACAGGGCCTGCTTTATAACTGAAAAGGGGGGCCTAAGGGGGATGAGGTGACACGCACGGCAGGAACAGGGAGCCTTTGACTTTGCTTGGGAGAAGGAAAGGCTCACAGCTGACAGCAGCTGTTTCTGTGAGTGTTCTGGGTCAAGATTCTGGCTCTGCTGCTTCCTGCGTCAGAGACCCCTGCTCCCTGAGCCTCTCCCTTCGCGTCCATGAAGTGGGCGTGATGGGCTTGAAATGCTGTGTAGGCTTGTGGTGAGGCTTCGGTGAGATGGTGCCCAGCACAGAGCAGGACCTCAGTACCATTGGCGGGGGGGGGGGGGGGGGGGGGGGGCGGGGCCTGCACAGCCAGGGTGGACACACAGGCTGTCAGACTCCGGAGTCACGTGGGCCACGGCACAAACACCTGCACACCCAGACCAGTGTTCACACGCACTCCAGCACACGAGTGGGTGAACAGACATGCACGTATGGACAGGCACACCTAATCACGTGTAGGAATGCGGGCACACAGACGTACACACAGTCTCGCACACTCAGCCTTCCCACGACCACAATCTCCAACCCCCTGTGCGCGGTCACTTCTGCTCTAACCGACCAGTGCCAGACCAAAACAACAACAACTCCTCCCCCCTCCCCCCTCCCCCTCCCCCTCCCTCTTTCTTCTTTAGAAATTCTCCAACCCAGATCTCCCAAGACAGAGGTGCCAGCCCAGAGGCTTCCACTCTGAGGCAGCTCGGGCCAAGCCCCTTGGGTCACAAAGGGCAAGGCCCACCCTGTCCTCTCTGTGCTGTGAGGGGGCCCCTGGAGGGTCACAGGGCAGTGACAAAAAATGCGGAGGGACAGGGTCAGGAAGGGGAGGCGCTTCACTTGCAGTATCGTTACTGCTGCACCATTTACAGGAGAGAAAGCTGAGGCACAGAGAGGGCAAGCGGCTTGCCCCAGGACACACAGCCAGCCAGTGAATATCATAGCTGTGCTCAAACGGGTCTTCATTAAACCAAGAGGCCTGAACTGTAAAATGCCCCTTGAGCCCCTGCCCCGCCCCCCCGAATTCACCTTCCTATTCTCCAGCCAGGCACTCCGTGTGCCAGGTGGCCTTTCCTTCTCCCCTGGGGACCCCAAGTGAGCACGTAGCCATCCCATGATCAGCACGAGAGAAAGGCCGGAGTGTGGCCCAAAGCCCTCCCCGCGTTCCCCCACCTCCCACTAAGGTGCCATCGCAGCCCTGCGACCATGGCCACGTACCAGGGGCAGGTTGCAGCCCGGGATGCTGGGGAAGTCGTGATGCTCCATGTGGTAGCCCACGTTGAAGGTGATCCAGTTGAGGGGCCCATAGTAGGAGTAGGTCTCATGGCCCTTGAGAAACATGTAGTGCTCAGCCACAAAGTGGCCGGAGATGGGGTGCAGGCCCAGGCCCAGTAGGGAGCTGGCCAGCAGGTAGACCATGGGCTTGAGCCCCCAGAGGGTGAAGATGGTGGCGTTGGCCGCCAGCTGCGCCAGGGCATTGAACACCTCCATGCGGGTCATGGCCTTGGGGTGCACGCAGAGCGGCCGCAGCGAGTAGAAGAAGGGCTGCAGCGCCAGCCAGAGCAGCTTGCGGGCCGGCGTGCAGAAGAGCCAGCCCTCGAGGCGCGTGGGCACGTCCACGTCCAGCCCGTCGCCGCCCAGGTAGCGGTGGTGATCCACGTGGTACTTCTTGAAGGAGGAGGCGTAGGGCACACCCAAGGGCAGGTTGGCGAAGACGGCGAACCAGCGGTTGTGGGCAGGGTGGCCAGTGCCGAAGGCCGTGTTGTGCGAGATGTCATGGATGGCCAGCGTCAGCGAGTGGTTCACGCAGCCCCCGAAGGCGTAGGCCCAGAAGAGCAGCCAGCGCCACGCCAGGCCCCGCACCAGCCAGCAGGCCAGCAGCTGCGCCAGCACCATCCCCAGCACCAGCCACTTGAGATGAGGGTCCGGCCGCATCAGGGCCTTGATGGCCGGGTACTTGGCTGCAGGGAGGACCGGGAGAGAAGGTGAGGGGGCGCTGGCCACGTGGGTCCCAGATGCATGCTTCCCCTCCTCCCTCCTTAAATTTTTCCTGCCATCTTCCCTGTCTTTCCCTCCACCATCCATTAAGCCCCCAGGCAGTGACACAGAGAGTCGCTCTGAGATCTGGCACTGCGGCTTTGGGCCTAGAAGCAGCCTCGCCTGTGCTTGTGCCGAGGGAGGCAGGCAGACCCGTCTCCCCCCACCACCCAGGGGGCTCTGGGGAGACTCCCCAGGGTGGGGGTCTTTGTCACCAGCCTAAACAAAGAGCAGGCGTCAGCATGGGCCACAGAAACATAATTCCCGAAATCAGAACAGCTGCTGAGAGCCACAGGTTCAGCGCACGCGGTGCTGTGTACTGTTGCTTGGTTGCTGCGGGCTTCCAGGGAGCCCGAGAGCCACAAGCAGACTCTTCGGGGGGGCCCCTGGGAGGGGGCAGGGCGGCTGGGGGAGGGGAATGCGGAGGGCTCTGGCTTTGTCTCGGTGTTTCAGTTCGTAAAACAAACAAGATCTGAAGGAAATATGACAAAACGTTGAATACACTTATTTTGGGTGGTGGGTGTTTGTTATTGTATCTTTTGTACTTTTCTGTATTTTGTTTTACAGAAAAGGAAAAAACAATGGCAGTGGGAGTTGCCCAAGCAGGGAGGGCCTTCCCAGCCGAGGAGGCAGCCGGAAGAGAACAGGGTGGGGTGGGGGCCTTGGGGCAAGAGAGCAGTGCCTTCTAGAAACCTCTGCTTGGTGGGAGGGGGCTGGCAGGCTTAAGGCTGGTGAAGCAGCTGGTGCTGTATCCAGGGGCACGGAGGGACAGGGCCGGGGGGCATCACATGCTCAAGGGGACAGTCAACCCTCCCACTCCAGGTCTGCTGTGTCCCTTGGTTCCCTGGCAGAGGAGACAGGCCCTCAGGTGGAGCCAGCGTCCTGACACACAGATTGGGATCCAGGCCGGCGACGGCGGGGCTCGTCCCAGGCACCCTTAGGACAGTCAGTACCCATCTCCAGTGCCTTCAGTGCCCGCCCCTCCTACCCATCCAGCAGCTGGGCGGCCTCAGGCTGGCCTGTGAAGAGGGTGTCCAGGGCTGCAGCAGAGGCTGGGCCCCAAATGGAATTGGCCAGGCCAAGGTTGAATCCTGGCCTACGCTTCCCTCCTAGTGACCCAGGAAGTCGCTGCCCTTTAGTACTCAGAATGGAAGTATGTGACAGGGCTGCCTTCTTCCTCCCAGCCCAGAGAACTTTCTGTCAGAGCCCCCCAGCAATGGAACAGGCTGCCTCATAGGTGGTGAGCTGCCTGTCCCTGGGGGTATGCAAGGAGAAACACAACAAGGACTTCTGCCCCAGAGGGGAGACTCAGGCTCAGAGTCTTCCTGCCCAAGCTGTGGTGGTGCCACAAGCCCATCTCGAGGTCAGTCTTGATCCTGCTGTGTGGCCATGGTGCATTCCCACTCTCTCTGGGCCTCTGTGTCCCAGTGTGACACAGTGTGGGCAGGATGTGCCTCACAGGGTATGTGTTCCACATACCGGTCCTGGAGCCTGATGGTGGGACAGCCCGCGTCTGCTGGAGATGTCGGGGCGGGGGGCGGTAGTCGGGGTTCCCACATCCTAGAACCTCTGCCCAGGAAGCCCACAGAATCCCCCAGGCAGCACCGACACCCCTGCTATCTACACACCAGCACTCCCACCAAGCCTCCACCTCATCTGGCGGCTACGGTGGTTTTGGCTCCGACCAACTGGGCAGTGGTGCTATACAGCCCTCAAGACAGCCTGCCAGGGGAGGCGGCCAAACCTCACACCCCTACCCCCGGCTCCCATTCCAGCCTCCTTCCCCCTACTGCTGGGGCTACCCCCCAGGCTTCCAAGCTCGGCAAAACTGCCTGGGCCCTTTGACCCCGGGAGCTTTCCCCGAAGCTGCCAAGGACACCACCTAATCAGGTCCCGGAGGATGGCGGTCACAGCACAAGCGTCAAAGCAGAACCTAGGAAAGAGCAAGCAAGCCCAGGCCTGGCAATAAACCACAGCCCTGCTTAAGAGGGGCCCAGGGGGCCACAGCATCTCCAGGGGGGGTGGAAGGGAGCAGCGTTCAGAAAGGGTTCAAATTCCAGCTCTGGATAAGGGTTTAGTAACAAGAATATATAAAGATATCCTACAACCCAAAAACAAAAAGACAAACAACCCAATAAAACATGAGCAAAGGACTTGAATAGATATTTCTCCAAAGATGTGCACCTGTTTCTCTAAGCACATGAAGAGGTGCTCAGCAGCAGCAGTCACAGGGATGCGGCCAGCCCGACGGTGAGATCCCACCGCAGAGCCGCTAGGACAGCCAAACTCGAAAAACGGAAACTAGCAAGCGCTGACGAGGCTGCAGAGAAATGGGGGCCCTTGTTTGTGTGCTGCTAGTAGGAACGGAAAATGGTGCAGCCACTGTGCAAAACAACTGGGTGGTTCCTCAAAAAGTTAAACATGGGATTACCATAAGACCCAGCAATTCCACTGCCAAATATATACCCCACAGAATTTAAATCAGGGACACAGACAGAAACTTGCATATCCATGTTCACAGAACTATTCACAATAGCCAGAAGGTGGAAACAGCCCAAGTGTCTGTTAAGTGATGAGGAGTTAAACAAAATACGGTCTCTCTACACAATGGAATATTATTCAGCCTTAGGAAGGAATGAAACTTCCAGTTACAAAATAAGTAGGACATGGGGATGTGATTCTAGAATGGTGACTGTAGTTATTAATACTGTGTTGCATATTTTAAAGTTGTTAGGAAAGTAGATCTTGAAAGTTCTCATCAAGAACTTCTCATCCAAATAAAGAGGGAGACATCGAGAATGGACTTGAGGACTTGGAGTGGGAGCGGGAAGCTGGGGCGAAGTGAGAGTAGCATCGGCACACATACACTACCGAATGTAAAATAGGTGGCTGGTGGGAAGCAGCCGCATAGCACAGGGAGATCCGCTCGGTGCTTTGTGACCACCTAGAGGGGTGGGACAGGGAGGGTGGGAGGGAGGCTCAAGAGGGAGGGGATGTGGGGACATGTGTGTGCACATGGCTGATTCAGTTGTGCAAGAAAAACTAACACAGTACTGTGAAGCAATTATACTCCAATAAAGGTCTATTAAAAAAGAAAAGAACTTGTCATCCAAGAACTCATCAAGAAAAAAAAAATTTGTAACTATGTATAGTGACTTGTTGGGATCATTTCACAGTATACCATATCAAATCACTATGTTGGTGGGGGAGGGATAAATTAGGAGTTTGGGATTAAAATATACACACTACTGGGACTTCCCTGGTGGTCCAGTGGTTAAGACTCCATGCTCCCAATGCAGGGGGCCTGGGTTTGATCCCTGGTCAGGGAACTAGATCCCGCACGCTGCAACTGAGAGCCCGCATCCCGCAACTAAAGATCCCGCGTGCCGCAATTAAGACCTGGCACAGCCAAATAAGTAAATATTTTAAAAAATATATGTACACAGGGCTTCCCTGGTGGCGCAGTGGTTGAGAATCTGCCTGCTAATGCAGGGGACACGGGTTCGAGCCCTGGTCTGGGAAGATCCCATATGCCGCGGAGCAACTAGGCCCGTGTGCCACAACTACTGAGCCTGCGCGTCTGGAGCCTGTGCTCCTCAACAAGAGAAGCCGCGATAGTGAGAGGCCCGCACACCGTGATGAAGAGTGGCCACAGCTTGCCACAACTAGAGAAAGCCCTCGCACAGAAACGAAGACCCAACACAGCAAAAATAAATAAATAAACTCCTACCCCCAACATCTTCTTTAAAATATATATATATATGCATACTACTATATATAAAATAGATAAGCAACAAGGACCTACTGTAGAGCACAGGGAACTCTGCTCAATATCTTGTAATAACCTACAATGGAAGAGAATGCAGAAAAATTATATATGTATATATGTATTTATATATATATATATGTATGTATAAATGAATCACTTTGCTGCACACCTGAAACTAACGCAACCTTGTAAATCAACTATATTTCAATAAAATTTTTTTTAAAAAATCACCTGAAGCTAATATAATGCTATAGGTCAATTATGCCTCAGTTTTAAAAGCTCTTATATTGAATTCGCTGCTTCTCTGGCACAGTGCCGGCTCCCTCAATCCTGCTCCCGGGAACTGACTCCCAAATAAACTAGCAGCACCTCCGCCGCCCAAAACACAGGCACGAAGGACTACCGCGGGCTGCATACGACACGGATGAACCTTGAAGACGTGATGCCGAGTGAAAGAAGCCAGTCAGGAAAGGCCACATACCGTACGATTCCACTTACGTGAAATATCTAGAACAGGCAAGTTCACAGAACCAGAAAGTAGAGGTTTCCAGGGCTGGGGGGGCGGGGGGGCGATGGGCAGTGACTGGTAATGGGTGTAGAATTTCTGTTTGGAGTCATGAAAAAGTTTTGGAAATAGTAGTGATGGCTACACCACACCGTGAAAGTCATGAATGCCCCCAAATCACATGTTTCACACACGGTTAAAATGGCAAATTTTATGTTATCCTTTCCCACAATTTCGTTTTTTAAGTTTAAAAAAAAAAAATCCGGGGCTTCCCTGGTGGCGCAGTGGTTGGGAGTCCGCCTGCCGACGCAGGGGACACGGGTTCGTGCCCCGGTCCGGGAAGATCCCACATGCCGCGGAGCGGCTGGGCCCGTGAGCCATGGCCGCTGAGCCTGCGCGTCCGGAGCCTGTGCTCCGCAACAGGAGAGGTGGTGAGAGGCCCGCGTACTGCAGAAAAAAACAAACAAACAAAAAAATCCCAGCTCCGAGCAGGTTACGTCAGCTCCAAGGCTCGTTTCTGAACCATAAACAGGTCACTGGGAGGATGAATAGATAAGGCACGGAAAGCTCAGGCTGACTGGCCGGGAGCGGACACCCAGATGAATCTGCGCTTTATGACGACCACCCAACAAAGTGCACCGTGAAGGCCGGCGGCCAGGATGCTGCCCGAAGACGGGTATGCTGGGGACAGCGGTGGTGGGATTAGGCTGCATAGCGCTCTCCTCCCGGGCCTGCCCACATGGCCCAACGGCGGCCAAGTGGGCTGTCCCTGCGTTGCGTGTGGGAGGCGACTTGGCTGTCCCAGAAACGCCAGAGGCCCCGAAGGGTACTCGCTGCCCCAGGCAGGTGGAGGAAGATGCAGGGAAGGGGGTGCCAAGGCCCCCGCCGCCTGGAACCAGCTCACAAGGTGGAGGGAGAGACTGGCAACTGGGGTGGGCAGAACAGGAGCCCCCCAAACATGTCCAGGTCCTACTCC